CGGGAACAGCATTGTCTTGGTGGCTCCCACAGCTTTTTTTGGGCAGAGTTCCAATATGAACTTTCAATGTTTCTGGCAAGAGCTGCTCAACCAGAACATACTGAACCAGAAGGAGACCAACAGTGCTGGAACTCGATTACAAGCAGTTGTACAGAAGATGGACAGAATCCAGCATGACCCTAAGGTCATTATTTGTATTGTTCTTATGTTTAGTATTGTTGCTATTTTTGTTAGTAGTGCTTTAGTCTCAACACGTGGAGTGATGGTATCATACTATACTTGGGGCGGTCCATCAACCCTACGCCTAAACCTGAACCACCCTAAACCCTGAACCCCAAACCCTATAGTCCCCCTTAAGTAGATAGAATATGGCTTTGCGTATATTATAATACGCTCCCCATATACCCCAAATTCTATCTACTTAAGAGGGACTATAAACTCTCAATCCCCAACCCCTAAACCCCTAAACCGCATGGCATGGAAGCATGTCGTGCTGGGCGTGGGTTTGGCAAGAGGCGCGGCAGAACTCCGCGTCAGCTGAGGGCTCTGTTAAGCTTAGGCAAAATAATGAGTTTAGGGTTTAGGGCTTGGACGTTCAAGGTAATTATAATCCAATTGTAAACGTTTCTATTTCCGTTACACGCCACTGAAGTCTCCGAACATGGTTTGTGTGTTGCTTTATGAGTGCCAGTTGATACCTCCCAGTAGGGATGATGACTGGGTCTCATCGTGTTCAAGGTTGCACAGGGGTAGTTGCCCAACACAGGATGAGGCGGTCAGGGTTTGTAACACACTGCTGCATGGCCTACTTTTGGAAGTTAACCCACAAGGTTTTTTATGGTAACCAAAGTATTAAAGGCATTGAAGGTAACAAAATTACATATTCGTAGCAGAAATTCACGGTAATATTATAAACGCTATTGCGCACCCGCTCCGGCTTTCGGTGCATCTTAAATGGGGGAGGGACATGGTGTGAAGGTGGAGGAGAGGCCGGGTTGCAGGGGGGGGGCAGGGAGGATGGAGGGGTCTGGAGAGTAGAGGGCGTTTCTGAGGCTTGCGTCATCCTCGCAAATAGGTCATACTAGGAATATTTGGGCAATACCCGAAACAGCACCTGACCACATGGCTCTGCTTTAAACATGGCCACTACCTTGAGCTATTCCTGAGCAGCCCAAGTAAATGGTGGTCCTAAACCTTAAAGCCTAAGTTTGGGGTTTAGGGGTTAGGAGTTTAGGGTTTAGGGTTTAAACCCTAAACCCCAAGGGGTCCTTACTGTTTTAGATATTCCCTAGACTGGTGATTTGTGCCTCTGCGCATCCTTGAATATGGCATAACCCCCTTCCCTTGAAAAAAAGGGAATCCTAATTTTGGAGTATCTAAGGCACTGGATGATTCTGGGTTGCTGTTAAGAAACCTCACCAAAGTTACTACAAAAAGAAAAGCATATTATTATCTATATACGCATACTATGGTAACTTAGTTTAAGTTTTTTAACAACAGAAACAACATGTGTTTTGCAATCCGTAGCTTCAACCTTAGAAGTGGTTCTCCGCCAGAAAGTAGAAGTTCATTATATGGAGCAGTTGTCAGTGCCTAAACCTAAACCCTAAATCCCT